TGGGGCAAGATACAACAGAGGGGCTGCGGGTAAGGAAGGATCTGCGTCTTACTGAAATGTAAAGGCCACTCCAAGAAGTTAAGCTTTCTCTTCAGGAATCTGTGCTGTAGGTGGCTGCTGAGGGTTAGGCTGTTGTGAATGGGGTCAATCCAATCCTGAGGAACAATCGAAGGACCGGGAGGCACCAGTGCTGGCAGGGAAGAGAGAAGAATTCCTGCCTTTGTGCCTGCGGGACAGGGGGGTCTATTCATGCCATCAGCCATTCCAGAGCAATGGAGGAAACCCAGAACAAGCAGCCCCTCTCCAGCCTGTTCTCCGAGGTAAGTGCCAGCCTTGCAGCCTTACAAGCCTCAAACATCAGCTTTGGGGTTTTGTTGCTCTGCACCAAAAACTGCTGGCAGTTGGTGGCTACTGATTTCCAAAAGACAACTGAGCCTTGTCCTCCAGGTCTCACTGGGCTGAGGAGGAGCTCTGGGAAGGTCTCTAGATAGCTCATACCTTCTTAACCCCCAGGAATCATGTCAGGTCTGAGGTGTGATCCTGTTTTACTCCTCAGCACTCCTGCTCTGAACTGGAGTTCAACAGAGACCTGCAGGCACTGGAGCGGCTGTAGTCTGTAGCTGGCATCTCTCCATCTACTGGCCCTGGAGGTGGATGACTAAACCCCAGATACACTGCTTGCTCCTAGTCACATAAATGCTCATGTAATTTGTCAGAAGCCCTACAGTAGCACAGTGCACTCCAGAATACCAAACCCTGTCGGTGAAACATCTGTCAGACCAAATGCAACCATCTTAAATCATCTCCACCTTCTTGTAGCAGAAATATACTGGTTAAGAGGTCTGTCTGTAACTCAGACATGGACATCTTTTCACATTTTAAGCAAACTGGTTTCAGGGAGATTTAGGTTATTAGGACCCCCTGGAAGAAGTCATTGAGTAGAATGCAGCAGGGAAACCTCCTCATGAGGACAAATTGAACAGTCACTACCCAAGGCATTAAGGTTCACAGCCCCATGGAATCCCTGGTAGGATGGTGGCTGCAAAATCAATTATCATGCCAGCTGGATAAAAATAGAAGCCTATCTAATTTAGCAAAGGTAATTTCAAGAGATGGGAGAAGACTGCTCCCACCACACACACCCCTCCTTCCTCAGTACTTCTTGCATTTGGTTGGTGGTGATTTTGGCACTTTTGGACTCCACGAGCCATTTGACTTTCTAGCCTAGCAAAAGATTCATTGGGCTGAGATCAAAAACATGGGCTGGTGAGATGATAGGCTGAATGACTCCCCCACAAGCCCAACACACCTGGGGCAGCTGAAAGGGAAAAATGATGGAAGCAGGAAGGAGACCACCTTCTTTACACAGTAGCATCGTTAATCCATTCAGCTTCCCCAGCAGCCACAGTTGGTGGGCATGGCTTTGTAATCATTGCCAGCCAGTCAAACCACTGCTGAAAGGGACTTGTCTCCCCAGCCTGCTTGCTCGGTTAAGATCTACAGCTGCCTGTCCTCATTGTATGTGCATCATGGAATTGTCAGAGTTGGAAGGGACCTCTAGAGATCATCCAGTCCAACTCCCTGCCAAAGCAAGGTTGCCCAGAGCACATCACTCAGGACTGCATCCAGGTGGGTCTTGAAGATCTCCAGAGAAGGGAACTCTACACCCTCCCTGGGCAGCCTCTTCCAGGGCTCTGGCACCCTCACTGGAAAGAAGTTCTTCCTCATATTTGAATGGAACTTCCCATGTTCCAGCTTGTGCCTGTTGCCCCTCGTCCTGTCACTGGGAACCACTGAAAAGAGTCCGGCTCCATCCTCCTTCAACCCACACTTTAGATACTTGGAAGCATTAATAAGGTCTCCCCTCAGCCTTCTCTTCTCCAGGCTAAAGAGCCCCAGCTCTCTCAGCCTTTCCTCATAAGGGAGGTGCTCCAATCCCTCCATCATCGTTTTTTGCCCTACGTTTTTTGCACTCTCTCCAGTAGTTCCCTGTCTCTCTTGAACTGGGGAGCCCAGAACTGGATGCAGGATTCCAGTTGTGGCCTCCCCAGTGCAGAGCAGAGGGGGAGAATGCCCTCCCTCCACCTCCTGGCCACACTTCTCCTTATGCAGCCCAGGATTCCATTGGCCTCTTGGCAACAAGGGCACATTGCTGGCTCATGGAGATCCTGCCCTCCACCAGGACTCCCAGATCCTTTTCCTCAGTAGTACTTCCCAGCAGATCCACCCCTAACCTATATTGGTGCCTGGGGTTCTTCCTCCCCAGGTGCAGGACCCTACACTTGCCCTTATTGAACCTCATTAGGTTCTTCTCTGCCCAGCTCTCCAGCCTGTCCAGGTCATGCTGGATGGCAGCACAGCCCTGTGGAGTGTCAGCCAGCCCTCCCAGTTTGGTATCATCAGCAAACTTGCTGAGAATACACTCTGTCCCCTCGTCCAGGTCATTGATGTCACTGCCATAACCTGATAGAAGTTTAGGGTGATTGCATTGTAGTGAATTAACTGGATGTTCCTCTACCAAAAATATGATGGGTTTATGAACACGTGGTAAGGGACCCGGCGCATCTGCCAGAGGAGAAGCTCCTGCAGAGCTTTTGTGAAGTTGAAACATGAGGAGAGACGTTATTTCAGAGAGCGCTGGTGTGCAAGAAAGCTCTCTGCTGTGTGGGAAAGCCGTTCCACACACCTGACCACTGGGGCCTTCAGCGTTTGCAACACTCTCCTGGTGGCACATTGATGATGGTGGTTCAAATCCAACCCGCTCTCAGAGTCTCACAGCAAATCCCCATTCCCTTCCAGGCTCTCAGCAGAGGCTCTGCAGCTGAGCTTAACATGGCATAGTTAAGGTTTCAGCGGTGCATAAAAATGAAGTAAATCACAAAAGCATGAGTTTAAAACCTCATCTGTTCCCTTCAGAATATAAAATTGTTCTAATACTTATTTCAGCTATTGCATAGTTGATGGTAGCTGCAATGCCAAGAAATTAAATGTCCCCCTTCAATGGGGACATCTCACAAGTAACTCCACAGCTCTTGGGGAAAGCCAACCAGCTGACAGATACAATAGCAAGATTTTTAAATGAGTAAAAATGTGGAATTTTTAACGCGTAAAACACTAAACAGGTCAATAGTATATTGCTTTTCATGAGGCAGTTCTTCCCACTGGGTTTCATATTCCCAGAGAGGTGTGTGGGGGGGTGTGGTGTGTCTCAGGTTAATTGGCCCCAACTAGAAAGACCAAACCCCCTAGAGAACTCTACACAAAACCTCCACACAACTCACCGCAACACCATCTCCCACAGACCGAGCAAAGCCAGGTACCGCCACGCTCACGGCACCGCTGCTCCCCACCGCGGCTGCTCTCGGTGAACAAGAGTTTTTAAGGGCATGGGCTATTCACCAGAGCGACAGTGCTGCTGTTTACTCTGCCGACAAGCTGTACCACCACCTGCGACGTTCCTCAGGTGAGAGAGAGTGGCCCGAGAGGAGAATGGCTGACTGGGGATGTACCAGATAACACAGGAGAAACCGGGACGCCTCCAGTCACACCCTCAAAGCAGATTCTACTTCAAAAGCTCCAATTTGCCTCCCCCTGCTTCAGACAGGGCAGTTCCAGCCACTTCTCCTCCCAGACCAGCTTCTTTGCAACACTTGGCAGCGTGTCATAAGGTACCATAATGGAGGGGGCTTTTACCTGTGGTAGAAACTACATCTGTTCAGGCAGATTTAGGGACGTGGCTGTGCGGCTGTGGAAGGAAAGGCTGGTTTCTCACCTGCCCATTCTTATTAAATAAATTCCCCTTCTTGTCAGGGCTTAGTAAGGCTGCATTACTTCAGTAGGTCACTTGCCATATGCTTTTTGATGAATTTCTTTTATTAAAATCGCAAAAGTGACTGAACCTGCATAAAAATAATCTTAATTCATCCTTCTTTGGAAAGACTTATAATAAGGAATGTCAATTAACTAGAGAGAAAAACCATTAGTGGACAATTATAGAACCATAGAATCATTTTGGTTGAAAGAAACCCTTAAGATCATAGAGTCCAACCATTAACCCAGCCCTGCCAAGTTACCACTAACCCACGTTCCTCAGCACCACGTCTGCCTGGCTTTTAAACACCTCCAGGAATGTGTTTAAAATCCCCTCCAGGGATGGCAACTCCACCACTGCCCTGGGCAGCCCATTCCAAGGCTTGACAACCCTTTTGGTGAAGAAATTTTTCCCAATATCCATCCTAAACCTCCCCTGGCGCAACTTGAGGCTGTTTCCTCCCATGCTGTCGCCTGTTCCTTGGGAGAAGAGACCAACCCCCCTGGCTACACCCTCCTTTCAGGGAGTTGGAGAGAGCAAGGTCTCCCCTCAGCCTCCTTTTCTCCAGGCTGAACCCCCCCAGCTCCCTCAGCCGCTCCTCGTAAGACTTATTCTGCAGACCCCTCACCAGCTCCATTGCCCTTCTTTGGGCCTGTTCAGCACCTCAATGTCTTCCTGGTAGTGAGGAGCCCAAAACTAGACACAGCCCTCATTAAGTCTTTGCAGAAAAGAACATTCATGTAGAAGTCAGGATCTCAGCCTCCTTGTTTCAGAACTCACACTGCCACAAGTAAAATTACTGTGACTTAGAATAGTATTTTTCTCTCTCAGTTTATGGCACTAAACGCTTAGTGCAACAAAAGAACCTTAGTTTTTATAAATACTCTGCTAGTTCAGTGGAGAGCCATCTTTCCCCTACACCACAGTGACAGTTTTCTTGAGACGGTTATTTCTGTATGAATAGGTCCCTCCAGAGGCACTACATTTTACCCAACCTTTCTTGCAGCTTTAGCTTAAAGTTAGCACACTAAGTACTAATGGTGATTTCTTTCAAATAAATCTAAAGAAAATAGTGAAGCTCTGTACAGGACTGCCTACTCAACAGTATATCCTTATTTTGGAAGAACGATGACATTTAAAAACAAACAGTGGAATTTTTTTTTTTTTCATTAAACAGTTACTGAGCAGAAAAAGAGAGAGTGAGTAGTTTATTTGACATTGTTGCAGACCACAGCATAATTGGACGATTTTGGGATTATGTTGGCCAAAGCATACAGTCTTCAACGCCGTTTTACACCACAATCAATATTGGCAGTGCACATTCAGCAACAGCACCAGCTTAGTCATCATCTTTAAGTTTCTTGATCTTGTGCTTATGGCGCTCAATTTCTTTCTGCAGACGCTCTATCTCTTTCTTGTGGTGATCGATCTCCTCCTCATGGTGTTTCCGTAAGGCGGAGAGCTGCTCCCTCTCCTTCTCCCTGCAAGAAAGGACGGCGCAAGGTGCAGCACCGGGGGGTCGCTCAGCCCTCCCTCGGCGGGGCCGGGAGCCGGGGCCTGGCCTAGGGCCGGGCCGGGCGCCCGGCAGAGGCCCAGCACTGGGCCGCCGAACCGGTCGGGCCCCCCGGGCGCAGTCCGCCGCGGGGCGCTAACCTGAAGTACCGCTCCTCCTCGGCCGCCTGCTTCTTCCCGAAGGCACCCCCAGCCTCGCGGATGGCGCCGCCGCCGCCGCCGCCCTTCCCGGCGCCTTTGCCCAGCTCGCCCAGCTGCAGGGAGAAGACGGCGGTGAGCGGGGGAAGGACAGACGCAGGCACCCCCACCCCCGGCTGCCCCCGCACCCACCTGGTCGGCGCCCGACCCCGAGCTCCAGCGCTGCTGCTGCGCCAGCAGGGCCCCGCGCAGGCCGCCCCGCGCCGCCGCCACCACAGCCGCCATCGCCCGCCTGCCCTTGGAGCGGACGGGACCCGCCCCCGCCCCGCC